GGAAGCAAGGGGTCTTTATAGGCAGCAAGAGGGAGATAGTCACCACCATGGATCCAGCGAGGTTCGTAGTTTAGTCTTTGATCTTCAGTAGCGGTGGGTCGTCAGGCAGAGTTGTCCTGTTGCCAACGACGACGACGACCATGGTGATGATGGCTCTTTTTCAATACTTCAAAGTGTGAGTCAGCTGTTTTTGGAGTGACAGCTCAGATCCAAAGTGGTTGAATCAGCTCTCCTTTGAGTGACAGATCAAACCCAAGGTGGTTGAGTCAGTTCTCCTTGCGGTGGCAGCTTCTGGCTCTGGGATCTCAGCAGGAACCTCCTTTGTTCTTATCTTTCTGGCCTTGCCAGCAGATAAGAGGAAGCAGGGAGGCACCAACCTGCATCTTGCCTCCGCAAGATACAATGGTATCATCCCCCAGCCTTCCATTCTTAGCTGGAGCGGTTTGGCCACAGGCCAGATCTTTCGCCAGTGAACACTGCTGAGCACTCTCTTCCGCTCTTCTACAGAGCAAGCAGCTCTGGGGGAAGGGGCTTGCAAATGTTACCAAAGCGATATCGATTATCACACGGTTAGCACCCATCAGTTGCCTCCTTGGCAAGTCACTCAGAGTCTTATCACAAGAAAAACCTCAGGAAGCAAGCTTTGAGCCAAAAAAAAACTAAGAAGGATTCTCACAGTTGCCCAGACAAGCTGTGGATACCCCTGCCACTGGAGGCCATGTTAGTTGTGGCCCTGGGCAGCTTGGAATAGTGAGTGGCAACCCTGCCCAAAGAAGAAGGGTATGGACTGGATGATCTCTAAGGTGCCTTCTGACTCAAGCCAGTCTAGGATATTACAATTTCTATGATTAGAAAAGCTGTAAACCGCATCCTCTTAACTCTGCAAGCGTGTTTCCTGGGACATGTTGAAGTGTCCATTTCTCAGCTTGTACCAGGTAATGAGCTGAACACCTTTCTACAATCCCAGAATTAATTATTATTATTATTAATACAATTTTGAATTGTGATCATGATTTCTCAACAGAAAATTCAAATCCCTGACTTTTGAAGCATAGAATATACCCTTTTTCTAGCCTATGGTGTTGCATTAGGCTTGTGTCATTAAGATACAAAGAACACATTACTGCTTAAAAATCCAAACAAAAAAGTTTTGACATTCACAAGTCTGTTTTGACAACAGTCACAGATAAATAATAAAAAAAAAGTTGCTTATATTTGATTTTGATTTGATTGATTTATATTTTGATTGATATTATATAAGAAGATTTAGCTGATGAACTTAATTTTCTTTAAAAAAAAGTTGACTTTTTAGAATAGCACAAGAAAGAAATTCATACATTTTTGACCTGAGGTTCATTTTCAATATATTTAACTACAATTTGCTGGCTCACAATGCTGGTAGAGCTGGAGCAAACACTGTATTTTAAAACTTTATAGAACTAATTTATAGTGTAGTTCAGGCACAGACTTGATCTCCTGGCAGCAAAATTTTATGTTTCCATTTCAGCAATGCTGCCTAACACAATAATATCAGGCCAGAAAATCTTAAATATAAGTTAAACTAACATGATCCATTACGTTATAAAGCAAGAGTACCCTGTGGAGTCATGCTGAATATGCCAAGTGATTTTTCAAAATTTAATCATCCTAAATGTCAGATAAAGGTGCTTTTGCTGTCATTCTTTAAAACCAGAAAAAAATCTGCTTGTGCCTTCAAGTTATACAGAAAACAGATCAAAAATAGCTATGTTAAAATATCAATCTGCTGTTTGCTAAATGTAAAGAAGGAAATATTGAAGTGTTTTATTGCAAAATAAAGAATTGCATTTTTTTCTGGTAAAGAACATGATATCAGTATAGGTATTGTCATTTCCTTCTCTGACCAATCTGTATTTTGATGTTGCCTGTACTGTAGAAGCTGTAAAATGATAGCAACAATATTCTGATTAAGAAACAAAATAGCATACTTCAAATCAAGATTTTGTTGATTTTATCTGTTAAGTTGATCAAATAATCAAGTTGGAAGCTTTCATAAGCAGGCTTTAACCTCACTCATGAAATGGGATTGGTAAAAAAAAGAAAAAAACACTGCTCACTCGAAGGATTCACAAGGTGATATTTCAGGATCAAACTCCCTGTAATTGAGTAGTAAACGTGAAGTGAATTACACTGATGAAACTGAGTAATTGTAAAATAAATTATAACATATTTAAAATATCACCCATAAAGGCCAAACTTATTAAAACTACTGCAATAATGTGGTCTGCATACAAGTACCACCTTCCAAAAATATCCACTCTTAATTGTTACTGCAGGGATGAATGTAACAGCGAAGTGATTTAAAAACATGGAAACAACGACAGATTTTTTTTTTTTTTTTTTCTTTTTTTCTTCCAGGGTAGAAAGTAAATAAAGCATAATTACACAGCAGGTGCATTAAAATGCATGGCAGAAATTAACAGTGGTGCTGGAGCTGATTTTCTTTCTTTTTTTTTTTTTTAAACAGAAATTTATAAGGCTAAAAGTTAAAGGACTGGCCAGAACATTCCCTATCTACACACAAACAAAGCACACATACGCATTCTGTATTTCTTTTGCATTGAACCACATGACAAACATTTTGAAAAGGCTAATAACAGGGTCTTAAAATAATAATTAAAAAAATAAAAATGAGAACAAACACATAAAGAACAAGTCATACCTCATTTTGATCACCTCTAACATAAGAAATAGAGCCAGGAAAAAGAGAAATAGTCTGAAAGTCACTGAAGGCTCACAGCTTCAAGATTTTGCTTATATTAAGAACACGTGGATTTCCTTAAACCATAGTATGAAACTTAATTGTCAGAAGTTTCATTGCTCTTAGCTCATCAAAGGACCTATTCATATGACAAATCAATCAGCTTCCTTGATTGATGCAATCTGCAGCTCAAAGCCAGGGAGAATTAGAGCAAGTGGAATAATTCCCGCTGGACTAGGTGATCATGTTCTCAACTGCTTCATCAAGAAACTTCAGATACCCCAGGGCTTTCCAGCTTATAAACCATTCAGAACTCTCAGGCAGATAACCATTTTTCTCTTACAGCTTCCATCACTAGAGGAAAGGCTGTGATGCCAGGATATAATTTCACCTGGGACAATATTGCAACAAACACTTCATATGGAAATGAAAGTTTCATTTATTCAGTTACTCCTTAAAGCCCAATGACAAGCCAAGTCAAGACAACTACTAAACTATTACAAATAATATAAAAGTGGTTTACTGAATAGAAAGTATTATGCATGTTTTGCAGAATCCCAGAACATTTTTACCTGCAGAATTAATGTCTGTGGTTTCTCAGTTTTTTTTCAGACTCTACTTTAATGACAACATAAAACATTTTTTCCTGTGCTTTTGCCAGAACAGACTATCTGGCATATTTTGAAGAACAACCCAGGAGTCAATGGTCACAGACACACTAGTCATAGAACTGAAAGCCCTTCTAGTAAAAAGCATCCTAACTGATCTGCACTGTAGAAACTCAGTGTCCCTTCTGAATGTTTAAAGAAAGCATACCAGTTTCTTATTCTTACATCTATTTTTCTAAACAGATTTGAATTCAACCTCTGCTTCTCCCAAGAGTACTTTTTAAAGCTTACAGGAGCAGGAAGTAAAGACCTTAAACTATACAAAGAAAATTCCAAAGCATTAGCTCAAGCCCCAGATGAGAAATTTGCAAACATTGCACCTTCAGACACAAATATGAGTAAAAAATATATGAAGGTTGCTCCAAAATTAATGCCTCCTATTTTTACCCATGGAAACTACAACAAAGAGCACAATAATGGTATTTGATAGAACAAATTCTCGGCTACTAAATACCAATTTTCATCACAATCACCACCATTAGCTGTTGCCACTGCTGAAATGCACCATGCCTCAATGTGCTCACAAACAGTTTGGTCTCTACCAACATGCAGCAAGCATCAATGAATATCACTAGGTGCTATTTTTTTCTGCAGAGTGAAAATTCATGACACACTTTTGCTTCAGACACACTTCCATGGCAGATGCCACTGTGTAAAACAACCCGTCTGCTGCCCTTTGTGTCATGGCAACAAAATGATTTCATATTGGTGGGAAGGTTCAATCTCCACTGCCACCTCACCAGCATCTGCTTCTTTTGCTGTGGGCCAACATATTAAAGTAGGAGGCATTATTTTCAGAACAGCCTTCATAGAAACAGCGTCCGTAACAGTCAGGAAAGCAAACATAAACAGGAGTTTGGATAAAGTTCATATGCTCTCCTTTAGGCATTTAGTATTGATGGTGAAGGATGTGTCAGATAACGCGTTCTCCAATCTGAATATGATATGAGGGAATTAAGTCAAGTCTTACCTTCAATCCTGCTCTGCTGAAAATATTTTACTCATAGAATGGTTGCTTTTGATTTCATTACTTCAAAAAGGTGAGTTCTTTGGAAAACCTGTTCAGTCCTATTCACAGTGGATGCTAGTCTATGCTACACTAAAGCCCATCTTCCATTTAAGATATACCAAAATAAGTCTTTATTATGAAGAAAGCATAAGCATGAGGCATTCTGTATATAATATGATTTTACTAAACTGGAAGATACGTGATTTTACATCATATGGAAGGTTCAGTAATGTTCCTTTTCAGTAATACATTTATTTTCACAGCCACCTGCTCCATCGTTCAGCAAATAATTTTGGTAGAGTTCACAGTATTATCATCTGGCCTGTTAAGCAGATGTAATATTAAGCACTGCAGGAGGCTGCCAAATTGGCAATCATAAAGAGGAAATCTTATGATGGAAATTAATTCTCTGGAAGTCTATTAATTTGTATTAAATGCCTGTGTGCATATATTGTGCTGTAACACACAGATACATGTAAAACAGAACAAACACATACAACTCCTTTTTCTCCTCTCAAATCTTCCCCGGGTGGGATAAAAACACAGAAAAGAATTGAGGAATAGATACTAGAAGTGACATCATTCTTTTTCTCTGGTTTTGTCATAGCAACTAAGCAGAATCTTCCTCACTTGGCATCACTAACTTGATGATTTGCCTGTGGAAAAAAATGTAGTCTCGATCAGGGTTTCAAAAGGCATCTTATTCACCATTCTACTAGAGTCTATAGAGCAATTCCTGGTTTGAGGGAAGCATAACCTCCTCTGGTTACTCATAAGTATGTTCCTCTCTGTTTTCAAATACAGGCTGGCCGACCCCCAAATTTCTATACTTTTCAGTTCTATGATGAGTTCTCTAGGCAGTTACAACTAGCACCGGCCCAGTTAATAATAAAGGACTGTTCATGTCCTTCTGCCCAGGCTAGCCTAGGGCAGAGGTCAGGTCTAGAAAGGTCCACAGTGTAGACTGTCACAAGACCAGGCTATTCTCCTAACATCCTTTCTTCCTTGTCATGCTCTGCATTCTGTCACAGGAGCCAGATACACATAGGACAAAGGGTTCCCCAGTGAAGAGCAATGCAGAGCCCAGTATTTTGACTGCTTGGTAGTACCACATTGAATTTATCCTTGGTGGCTTAAATAGATGAGGACTGATATCAAGTTTCTCTCATTTTCTGCCTTAGATTGGAACTGAAAGCCAGGGCAGATTTGTCTTAACTTCTAGCTAAATTCCAATACTTTAAATAAACTGTCTACAAGCAAGTATTTTAAGTATACTGTACTAAACATCTTACACAGATCAAAACAATTCCTGAGAATAACAATTCCTCATTCACCCAGAAAAAAAAAAAAAAAAAAAGATTATTAGATAAAGGATGATTAAAAAGGAACATTACATTAACTGAAATAAACAGAAACCACATATTTAACTTCAAATAGTTATGATTTCTGACATCATCAATAACACTAAGTGCAGCTTTAAGCTATTCGATAATAATTATGCTGGTTTTAGAGAGCAGTATTTGAGAGAGAGAGAAGCTACATACTGAACAATAAGATTATACCATTTACACAAATAACTTCAGCATTTTTGTCAGCACAGAAATAATGTCAGGCTCCAATGTGTATAAGCCATTAAAGCAGGATGATTAAGTAGTCCTAATAACACCAGATAAAACAAACTTGTTAACCCTCTACCAGCAATATTATCTTAAACAACCCATTTCACGTTCTCGTTTCTCTCTATATTTCCCCATTAATGGCTGTCCCATTCACTAAAAGACAGAACAGCAAGTTCTTCCAAGGGCAAGGATTATCTAAAAAAATATCATTTGTTTATATGAAGCATGTTATCACTTTCTGAAATGAAAAAAAAAGTGTAGAAAAGCTAGCAATTTTATACACTTTCAAATATTTGATAATTTTTCCTCTTCAAAATGGTATTTTTATATCAAATCTAACTGTATAAATGTAAGGAGTTAAAAAATATTCTTTTTAGTCAAGTGTGTCTAAATTTTTTTTTTCTACAAGTGGTATCACTCAAAGCACCTCTAAGAAATGTCTGATTGATCTATTTCTCTTAACTTCTTTCCTTTTTTTTCAGCAGCTAAGCAAAAAAAAAAAACATTATTAGCCTAGTTCTGCTCTGGTATACTTAATGCTCTCATAGTGTTCTCAGGAACAAAATAGAGGACTGATGCAACACACCAAAGAGTTTACATGTTTAACATAGGAGGACTTCAGATTACTGTCTGGTATGAAGAAGCTGCCGACCCAACAGTCAGATTGAGCTGTTTGCTGGCCTCTTTGTAGCAGCCCTTCCCAAAGACACAAACAGTCTAAGAGTGAGTGCATCTATAATCAGAATGCAATTATATACATAGGTTGCTCTGAAAGTAATGCTCCTATTTGTTTCCATTGAAACTGCAACAGACATAAAGAGCACAATAACACTATTTGATAGAGCAAATTCTCAGATACAAAACACTATTTTTCAACACAGTCACAACAATTAGCTACTCATTTTCACCAGTGATGAATAAGAACCTGCAAACTGCACTCAAAAATCTGCATGGCCATTCTGAAAGTGACTTGTTTTTCACACTGCTGTTGCCACTGCTGAAATGCACCATGGACTGCCTCACTGTGCTCACAGCATTTTGCCTCCACCAGCATTCGGCAAGAATCAATAAATGTCAATAGGTGCTATTTTTTTCTGCAGGGTGAAAATTAATGACACAGTTTTGCTTCGGACACACTTCCATGGCAGATGCCACTGTGTAAAATCACAGAATCACAGAATCATCCAGGTTGGAAGGGACCTCAAGGATCATGTAGTTCCAACCCCCCTGCCTAGCAGGGCCACCAAACGTACACATTCAGATCAGGTTGCCCAGGACCCCATTCAACCTGGCCTTGAACACGTCCAAGGACGGGGCATCCACAACCTCCCTGGGCAGCCCGTTCCAGGGCCTAACCACTCTCCTTGTAAAGAACTTCCCCCTAACATCCAACCTAAATCTTCCCTCCCTCAGTCCATCTGCTGCCCTTTGTCTCATTGCAACAAAATGGAACAGAATATTGGTGGGAAGGTTCAACTTCTGCTGCCATAACACCATCTACCTCTGACATTATGGATCAACATACTAAAACAGGAGGCACTACTTTTAGAGCAGCCATTGTACCTACCAGATCATCAGGAATTTTCTTTGAAGGTTGCTTGCATTATTTCTGGTTTTTAAGCTATTTGGCAAGTTTCACCTCATCTTTCCAGGAGCACTAATACTCTGCAGATAGCAATTAGTGCCCTACATGCAAAATATTATGACTCCTGATTTGATCTGCCTGTCATGGTCAGACTACACTACATTACCACTGAGCTCATGCTAAGTGATTCTGATAACACTGCTAAGCACTTCTCTAATTCCATTCTTGCTTGTCCTTTCAGATTAAGCGTTGCACTAGATTATTTGGTTTTGTAAAGATCTGACTCAAGCTGCAGACCTCTCATTTCATCTCTCATGTTTTCAATAGGAAACATTAACCTTTCTCTCTGACAATTTAGGGCAATAGCTGTACAGGTGTACTTCACCTTAGAGATGCACAGAAAGGAATTCAAAACATGGCTTCTATGCTTAGTATATACTGACACTACTTCAGTACTGAACAGTGAATCTTCATGTTGCAATCTACTACCATGAACTTGAAAATAGCTTTTCATCATCCTGAATTTTAGAGCTTTAAGTATAAATATTTAGGTAATTGTCTAAAAAGCCAACACCCTTTAAATCTGAACACAAATAAGTAGAAAACAAAAACACAGCAAAATATGATTTAAATCAAAAATAAATCAAGAGCAAGATATTTCATTTTTAGAATATCAAGCGTCATGACAGTAATAGCAAGTGCAGCGCACCAAACATGCCCATGGAAATCCTAGAAACAGATCTGCTCACAGCAAGCATGATTTCACCTTTTGCTGTCTTTTCTTTGCTGTACTAATTTTCTTCCTAGTTTTAAACAACTCCTTTAACTTAGCTTAAGAAAGGTGTATTATTTACATCTTATGATACAATCACAATCAGTTCACTCCTATTTTACCTCTTCCTCAACTAAAATGATTTATTAAATCAAAATCACACAGATTCAATTACACATTTCCAAAGTTTTAAAGGAGGAAGCAGAAAACCTTCTCAGATCTGAATTCTAGCATCTAACTCAACTTGTTCCCTCACTTGGAGCCATTAATCATCACATAAAGTGTATTTTTTGTTCTCTCTAGACAAAATGATTCTGTAGCACCATCTAGTGAGATGACATCACTATCTGTGACGGAATATGCAATTCCTGGTCAGGATTGATCATCATTTCCAGTTTTCTAAAATAAAATATATATATATATATATATATTTTGAAGGTATCAAGTTTCCATACTTTCATTTAAATTTAAGCAACTAATTCATGCCATAAAGATGCAAAATTTCATGCGAACGGTTTTTGGTTGTTTTTTTTTGTTTTGTTTTGTTTTTGCAGGGCCAATCCTCTATGCTTGAAATGGACATGTTCAATGCCCGCTGCAGAAGTGGAGAAGTGTCTTGACTATCTCCTGCTCCACTGTGTAGTTAGAAGATGCAGCTGCATTCTCTAATTCTTCTGCACTTCACTAAAGCAGCTGTGCTTCCATCTCAGTGGATGCAGGAAGGACAGATATCATGAGCACTCCTCTAGGACCTCTGCAGAAGAGGTACTCACAATCTGGCCTGGCTTGGCCAGTCTAAAAAACTACATTTTGAAAGCTATTTGTTTGGTGTTGCTTCCTGTATTGTGATATTATCAGATTACTCAAACAAATTCAATTGAAAAAACAGTTTAAGGTTAGTACATTCTACTCTTGCAACTTTGCACAGCTGTAAAATTAAATGGGAAAAAAAAGCCATCCATGACAATCTTAAATTTGTACAAAAATGAATACATATACTACTCAGTTTCTTCCTCATTCTTCCTGTAAGTTCTTGGCATAACTCAGGGAAAATTATAGATAAATTCTGACTGTCCGTCGGTGCAGAACATAAAAGTAAATTGAACAAAGGCCTGAAAACTCCATCCTATGAGTGAAATGAAAAGGGCATAAGAACAATGGTATAGGATTTGGACCACCATGAATGTGATGAGTCACAGGCACAGGCACCCTATCAGTGTTCAAGTAGCATTTGGACAATGACCTCAACAACACGATTTAACTTTGAGTTAGCCCTGACACAGTCAAGCAGTTGGACTTCAGGATCCTTGAAGATCCCTGAAATCAAAATATTCTGCTCGATCACAATGAGACATTTCAAATACAACAGCTGTTGTCTATTATCAATCTGGTATGTAAGATCTATAAAGAAGTTGAAGAATACTAAGATCTTTAGTGTTTAAATCTGATGAAAAATTTTCCCCTGAACTCCACTGATCGGCTTATTACATGAAGTATGAACTTTGATTATTTTTCTATTAGCTTGTATAACTGCAAAGTTTTATCAATAGTCAGGAAATCCTGTTTTAATGGAGATTCATGTGTTCCAGTCATCCTCAATGTAAGTCAGTGAAAAAAAAGACTTAGGCATGAACTGATTTTTAATTACTTAGTATATATACACAGGATGGATGCACCTGT